TCAAACTTCTAATTCGAACAGATGATTTTCCTCTTTGGTTAATGAATACAATCTATAATATCAGGGGTAATGACATTACTTTTGGGGTTTTATATCATGCTCTTATCTTTCGACAGAGAATTGGAGTGGGATACTTTATTCACAATTTCTTTCATTATCAGAATCACTCACTATTTAAATGTGAGCTGAACTAATGTAGAGAAACCCCTTCACCCCCAAAATACAATACCTGGAACCGAATATATTTTAAAAGATCAAAATTTTTGGCAAAAATCCTGAAATATTCCAGAAGTTTAGAATTGTGCAGGAAGTTTGGAAAATCTTCAGGCATTGGAAAGTCACTGAAACAGGACATTTCTTTGCTGGTGTTGGTGATGACGGATTGATAGATACTTGCTCGGCCATCTTCCACATTTTCCTAAAGGATCAAATAAAGTCATTAGTGATGATTATGCATTCAGAAAATTCCTTGGTTTCCTACCCTTCTGCTTACATCTAACCCTGAGTGATGCGATTGTCTTTTATTGCTGTGGTACGACTGTAATGTTTAGGTGATGAGGTGCAGCCTATGTACTCCATCATTCTGTGTGATGGGACCTGTTTATTGCCTACCAGTGTTGCTCATTGGGGGTGATATTGGCATTGGTGGGTGTGGGGACAATTTTTTATATTTAGCACATTATAGGCACATTATATTTAGCATCCCAGGTCTCTACCTATTTAATGTCAATCTTTGTGACAATCAGTTCCTTTCCTAAATTTCCCCAGGGGAGCCCTCTTACCTGTACCTCTTTAGGAACCAATAAACTCTGGCACACTGGACAGACAACATAATACAGAATTCCAAGGAAAATGAGTACTTTTGGGGGCCAGGAGTTTTCACATCTTGACTTGAATCCCTCTGTCTTCACTTTATGCTTTACACAAATCAACCTTCTTCAAGTGATAAGGGTGAATGGCACATACCAATCAAATCTTAAACTTGAGTCTAATTGTTAGCGAATATGCTTTGGTAAAACCCGAGACCACGCATGCTGTGGTTGAGTTTATCATTTTCTCTACAAGTAGCACTGTGTGTGATGTTCTTTATATTAAACCACAAAAAGAGCCAAGTATGGTGATTCGATGTCTCTGAAATCAGCATACTACCAAATAGGCTTGAATAAGAAAATTTAAATAATGCTATTCAAGAACCCTTCTATAGATGCTTCTGCATATGCAGAGAGTAAGGCATAATCCAAGTAAATAGTAGTTGCTTTTTAAACTCAGAATTAGGGTGGATGTAAAGAGATGGAAAGCTTGTAGGAATGCATTAATTGAAATGAATTACTTAGTCTTAGATTATCAGGACCATGGTCCCTTCCATAGAGTGGTAAAATAAAGAAAGTAAATATTCACCTCTAATCTAGTCACTACAATAAATCATCATTATTCATAGAAAATCATTACTTTCCTGCCCAATCTTTAGATAAAGTCTCCTTAGATTTTTGACAATGCTGAACAAGGCAGCCTAGACTAGCAGAAGGAGCTTGGTCTTCAGAGTTAGACATGAGTTTAAATATTTTTCTTTCAGACTGTATGAGCCTGGACCACGCAGTGCCCCTGAACTTCAGTCCTCTCATCTATAAAATAAGGATGTACTAGGTATTCAGTAGTGGTGTCTGTTGTTATTGAGGAAGCTACAAGCTTGACCAAAGCTGTCAGTTACAGCTCCCTGTTCACTGCAGTCCAAAAAGGCACCTACGGAGCTTCTTTGAGGCCAAACTAACCTGGCAAAGGCACACTTACTACCGTTAGACATGAGTTTTCTGACATTTTCTGTATGAGTTTATACTTGCTTTCAAAGAGTTAAAAAAGAGTAAACTTGTGGTATCTTGTCTCTTTTATAAGCAAAGCTCTTTATTTGTATTAGACCTCACTGTGTCCTAATTTCAGGGCTTATCAGCACCAATATGAGTCACAAAGCTAATATGATGTTTGCTCCCAGATCATGTCACTTAACAGCAATACGTAGAGTCCTTGCTAAATATGGGTCTGTTTGTAAATATCTTCCTCCCTCATTCTCTTCTCTTTCTTCGTTTCTCATTTACTCATTCATTCATCACTTATTCCTTTATTCACTCATGCCTACTGTAGGACTTTTTCCATGAGTAGTGTGTTTAACTTTCATGGCCCAGAAGAGGCCAGAGATCTTTCTGTCTTGTGGCCACCCAAGACCATGCTTCTGTCCATAAGTCCCCCTAGTAAATCATCCTATACCAAAAAACTGGATTTGTTTGCTTCATTCTTTGGTTTCTTGACTCCTTCAGCATTTGGGGGGAGGGTCACTTTTCATATGCAACCCTTTCATGGAACATAAGAAAATAAATTGGTTTGGAATGTTGGATCTTGGGGATCACATTTTAAGAGAGAAAGTGTTATTTCAGATTGAATCTAGAGGAAGGAAACCAAGATGGAGATATGTCTAGAGACTATTATATGAAAATTAATTACAGTAGCTGAGCATATATAGCTGGAGAAAGAGGGAGTCTAAATATAAAAACCACAAAGAACAGAAAAGCAATGTACATTGGTGACTTTCCTGTGAATATAAGGTATTAGGAACAATAAAGGAGGCAGAGCAAATTAGTGTCTGAAGGAAGATCAAGTTTTCCTCTCTCAATAATTCAGTAAGGTTATAAAGTGTGAGGGCTCAGGAATCATGAAGACCTTCATTTTTGTTCCTTCCTTACCACCTGTGTTTCCCTGGGAAAATTATTTATACCAAACCTCAGCTGCTTCTTCTTTTTCTTCTTTTTCTTTTTTTGAGACAGGGTCTCACTCTGTTGCTGGGGCTAGAGTGCAGTGGTGTCATCATAGGTCATCAGCCTCCTGGGCTCAAGTAATCCTCTTGCCTCAGCCTCCTGAGCAGCTGGGACTATAGGTATGAGCCACCATGTCACGGTAATTTTTTTTTTTTATTTTTATTTTTTTCGTAGAGACAGGGTCTTGCTGTTTCCCAGGCTGGTCTTGAACTCCTGGCCTCAAGTTATCCTCCTACCAGCCTCCCAAAGTGACAGGATTACAGGCATGAGCCACCGGGCCCAGCCTCAGTTTCTTCTTAATATGTAAATGGTGATAATCATAATACCTACTTCCTAGAGATATTGTGCAGAAAATGAGTTGAGAAAATGAGTGCTTCCAATTGCTGGAAAAAGTGTTAAAAACATATGTAATGCCTACCCTTTCCATGTTCCATAAATGCCACCAAGGGTTACTGGAGAATCTGGAAGAATTTGGCAGTGTCTGGGTTGAGTATGGGACGAGATTCTCAAATTTATTTATTTATTGTTAATTTGTCATCACTAAATATATTAAGTGATCTCAGAAGGATTGTATGTAAATATAGAAATTAATGAATAACCCATTTTAAAAATTGATTCTGGATGGCAGAGTTCTGAAGAGGCCAAATTTCCCTGGGGATGTGTTGGGAAATAAGGCTAAGAGACATGAAAGGTTTCAGGAGTTTTGCAGGATTTTGCCTTGAAGGAATCTCTGGGTGTGTTAGTTCACAGACTAGGAGCTGCTCCCAACAAAGGGAGGCAATGTGAGAACACATTTGCAAAGCAACGTTTCTTCGACACTGCAAGCCATTGCCTAGAGCTTATTGCACAGCAGAGCTCAGTTTGGGCCCAAGGCTGAGAAATGCCTGCCCAGCAGACAATGTGCAGCTGGAACTATCTTAAACTTTAAGGCTATTCCTGCTTCACTCCTGACCACGTCTCTGTATTTAGAGAAACATATTAGATTAGTATATAGACTCAGTATTCCTACTTTATACATTTTTATCTTTAATTTGTATGCTCAGCTAAGTCTATTCTTAACTTAGGGCTTAGAATGTTTATCTTAGAAAAATTTCATAACTGTCTATTCTTATAGACAGAATTAGGTAAGGGACCCTTGGAATTTTTGGGGAGCCTTGAAACCTCAATGAATGAACTGTACACATAATTCTTTAACCAAGGACAACTGCTTGCTGTAACAATAAATACTGATTTGGGATTTCACTCAGTGCCTCATAGCTCACGGGAATGGTGGAGGACCCCTGACTTCTCCGTCACTTTAAACTGCACTTTGTCTCTGTCTCTGTTATTATTCTGTCTCTATTATTTCCAAATCTCTTGTGATGATCCTGCCTGGGACCTGTTTTGCTGGGAGAGTAGCTAACTCCCAGCAAGGATGAGTGTGGAGGCTGCCAACGTCTTTTTAGAAACTCTTCTTCTTGGCCAGGAGTGGTGGCTAATGCGTGTAATCCTAGCACTTTGGGAGGCCAAGGCAGGAGGCTTCCTTGAGCTCAGGAATTCAAGACCAGCTTAAGCATGAGCGAGATCCTGTGTCTCTACTATTATAAAAATAGAAAAATTAGCCAAGTGTGGTGGCATGCACCTGTAGTCCCAGCTACTTGGAAGGCTGAGGCAGGAGGATTGCTTGAGCCCAGGAGTTTGAGGTTTCAGTGAGTTATGATGCTGCTGCTGCACTCTAGCTGGGGCAACAGGGTGAGACTCAAAACTTCTCTTCTCAGCAGTCCGGTCTCCTGGTAACTAAAGCCCTCACATGGCCCCAGTGGCTGCTTGTGAAATTTTGCTTATTGTATGTTTTACTCTGCAGGGAGATGCTTTGTTTCCTTTTGGTGGAGAAAATTGTTTGCATTTTTCTATTGGATAAAGTTTTAAGAGAGGGTTGAAATGTAATGTTTTTACAGGTTCTAGGGTTACACACTTACCCCTTAATATCCAATAAGGGTTAATTAATACAGATTTTAATCTAACTTTTCTACCCCATAGGATGGTATCTGTCTAATTCTGAAATTTTAAACACTGGCAATAAGATAGTAGGAGAAATATTTTGTGGCAGAAAGTATTAATACCTTCCTG